ATGTTTTTAAGCAACTCCGACCTGGAAGAAACCCGGCATTGATGAGGTTAAGGTAATTTTGCATTTTTTATTATTTTTACAAACATTAAATAGACATGTTTAAAGCTATAACTTTGTTGTAATTTGGGTTGAAGAAACTTCCTATGGCTTAGCCATTTCTTCAGAAGACGTTGACATACACAGTGAATCTTCCAAAGAGAAAACAAGTGATTTGGTAATAATTGAATCCATACGTCCTTTCATCAGTGTATGGACGTCTATCTGTCAAGCACAAGTTTAGGTTCAGATTCAATGAGAAAATAAAACAAATCATCTAACAACATCTCTTCCAAAACCAAGAACTACGAGATCGGTCCTTTCATCATGCGGTGACAAAGAGATTGTACCGTTCAAGCCTCATTTTTCATGCTTGTCCCAGGCAGATTGAATCAACATAAACTGAAGCCCAACTCAAAAATGGAAAATACGGCCCATGATTGCGGCCCGCCATAAAAGCAACACAAACTCAAGCCGAACAGTCCCAGGCAGATCCGACCCGAACCAACGAATCGGATAAAAACCCAAATTCCGCAATAGGGCCACCTATATATAGTTCACACTTAGCGCCACCCGAGGGCTTCAGCTTAGCTTTAGGGTTTCATTCGCTGTAAACCCCAGAAGGTCAGTGAAGATCTCAGCCACCCGGAAATGGTATGCTCCAAACCCTAGTTTCATCCCCTTCTTCTCGCATATGCTCGAACCTTATGCTATATTCGAATAATTTTCACTTGTATGTACGCATGCCTGTGTTTTCTGATTTTTTTCATCCGTTGGTGTGAAATGTAGATTATCAGTTAATCTGTGGGCTTGAAATCTGATTAATTAGTACAATCGAGGTGTTTGTTTGTGTTAATTGGTACTGATTAAGCTTTATCACCTTTGATGCTTACTTTTGATGAATGCATGTATGTATATGTAATGGTATGATTAGTCTCTGAGAATTTGTTTTCCGAGAGGCGGAAGACTTCGAATTGTCAGCTGGGGATGGGATAGATTTGGAGACCATTATGTGCACCCTGTTTTCGGGGATTTTTGAACTGTGAATTTTATTTCATTTGTTTATCCAATTAAGCAGAATTTGAATGTTTACAGAGGTTTCTATTCAGTAAATGTAATGCTTTCAATCATGCATGAAAAGCACGCTTTGGATGGCACTGGTGTTATATCATTTGTTAAATGTGATTGAGTTTTAACGCCAATTAACTTTGGGACGTGATCGGAATCGTGGTTGCCTTTTGATTGGTTTCATTTGTTTTAATTTTCCCATATTCTTTTGTCTTGCAGGCTCCCAAGAGAGGTGTGAAACCGGCAGCACCTGCTAAGAAGAAAACTGTATGATCTATTGCATTTGTTTATGGATTGTTATCTTATAAATGTTTTTGAAACTTGTCAATTATTGAATATTTCTTTAATTAATGTTTCAGGAGAAGGTTGTGAACCCACTATTTGAGAAGCGTACCAAGCAGTTTGGTATTGGCGGGGCTTTGCCTCCTAAGAGAGATCTGCACCGGTTTGTGAAGTGGCCCAAGGTTGTCCGTATCCAGAGGAAAAAGAGGATCCTTAAGCAACGTTTGAAGGTCCCACCAGCACTTAACCAGTTCACCAAGACTCTGGACAAGAATCTTGGTATGAAACCGACCATTGTGATTTCTTGCTGCTTGAGTAATGTGATTGTTTAGGATCATTTGAAGTTAATTGTTTGAAAAAGGATATGTAAATTCTTACCATCACAAAAAATTTATCGTTGGTTAGATGAGCATACGTTCACTACCTACTGCTTACTAGTCTGGGAAAGGAAAAGTTTTCCAACACTTTTGGATTTCTACCTCTACGCCCTTTGTCGTGTTTCTTGATGAACATCCCATCCTGTATCTGATTGGATAGTCACATAATAGTATTGATAGTTGATTCTAGGATCTGTAGCTTTAAAATTACTGATTTGAGTGGTTAATGACTATTCCATTCATGTTCTTATATGGTCTGATTTTATGAAACATTGAAGGTGGAGTCGTTTTAGAGGAGGTCTGAAGTATTAAATTATTTTTACTCCCACAAACAATTATAATATTTCTAACACTACTTGCAGCAACAAGTCTCTTCAAGTTGCTTCTGAAGTACAGACCCGAAGACAAAGCTGCAAAGAGGGAACGTCTTCTGAAACGAGCTCAAGAGGAATCTGAAGGAAAAACCGTTGAGACAAAGAAGCCTATTGTTCTGAAATATGGACTTAACCATGTCACCTACCTGATTGAGCAGGTTGGTAATACATCATATCGATTTGTTCCTTCTAGGTTTCAATGAATGAACCTTGACATACGTCGTAAGTTATGCTAACTAGTAAGATGTTGCCTTCCTCGCAGAACAAGGCTCAGCTTGTTGTTATTGCTCATGATGTGGACCCTATCGAGTTGGTTGTATGGCTTCCTGCCTTGTGCAGGAAGATGGAGATCCCATACTGCATTGTGAAGGGGAAATCCCGTCTTGGAGCGGTATAGATCTGTAATTTTGTCTGTTATTTTTAATCAAACAATGGATTCTACGTCTTTTGGAAGGTATTAATGTATCTTTTGCCTCACTGACAGCTTCTCCACAAGAAAACAGCTGCTGCACTTTGTTTGACAACTGTTAAGAATGAGGATAAGCTTGAGTTCAGCAAAATTCTGGAGGCTATCAAGGTATGTTGAAAGATTGATTTTTTTTTTTACTTTGCTTGACAATTTTACCCGTCAGATTGTAAACACTTGATTTACCGCTCCTCATCGTTACTTGTATGTGATTTAGGCCAACTTCAATGATAAGTACGAAGAGTTAAGAAAGAAGTGGGGAGGCGGTATCATGGGCGCCAAATCACAGGCCAAGACCAAGGCGAAGGAGAAGCTCTTGGCCAAGGAAGCTGCGCAGAGGTTGAATTAAGAGTGTCGTCCATCGAGGGTGCTCTTTACTTGCTTTTGTATTTTCCTTTCGAGACTAATCTGTTCCCCGTATAATCACTTACAAATCGAGTTCAACTTTATATCACTCTGGTTAGAGTGTGGATATGCTTTTTGTTAGAACATTTGTAGCATCTATATTTCTCTTATCTTCATGTTCTCCATCCATTACCACAATGTTTGTCTGCTTTTGAGCCTTTTGCATCCAAAGTTGGTGTTATGTGAGAAGATCCTCATCCAGATCACTCTCTCGTAACGGGCGAGAAAGAACCCGGGGAGAAAAAAAGCACTTGAAGTGCAGTGTTTTAACTCATTTAAAAGCCTTTTTCAAACGAGCTCATAGTGTGTGTCCCCTAACCTGGTTACACTGGTTTAACTTTGTAAATTAAGCAAACCATCTTAACAAACCACCTTTAAGTTTAGAGTACAATGATAGTAAGATGCCGGTTAATCAGCCTACACTCCACTTTGTGCTATAACATTGAATTCACCAAAAATGCTTACAATCAAGTGGAAATTAGGCCGCGTTTTGACCAATTGGTCATGTACTTATCTTAAAAGAAAGTAGGCACATTGTTTTCAGTTTTCACTTGGAGAGACGATGAATGTTCACTTCTCCATATGAAACTCATGAGTTGAAATTGTTGAATAGATCAAAAACAAGGAAATATTGGCTGAAAAACAAATTAAAGTTATTCCACCAAAGACAACACAGTGTCTTGTTTTTGCGTAGAACGATACCGTTAATAGGTTAATTATTTCGTTGTTAGGAGGTAGAAGAATCAGTGGAGATCAAACCGCATTAGGATTTTTTTTTTGTCACTACTGTAAAGTAGGCCTGGCATTTTCAACCCAACCCGTTAACCCGACCCGTTAAAATTAGTATTCGGGTGAGTGGTTAACGGGTCAACCCGTTAATCATCCATTAAATAACGGGTCGGTTTGGGTGAACCTGCGAAACCTGTTAACCACCCGTTAACACCTGTTTGCAAGGACTTTTGTGTAATTTCAGCCCTAATCCAAAACCCTCATGTTCCTAACTCTCTCTCGCAGCCTCGCACCAAAACGTAGTGAAAATTCTTATTCTTCTTTGTTCTTCCTAGAAACAAAAGTATCCATTCGTCTCGCTGCCTCGCACCTAAACGCAGTGAAATTTATAGTAGTCTGATGCAGAAATGAATCTGCAGACAAGATTGCCCTGAAGAAAGAATCTTTGGGTCAACGGGTCTCCTTCAGAAGTCTATATGTTTGCTTGTTTCGAGTTTTGTTTTCTTGGTAGGCCATTATTGTTAGTAATGAATGATGAATGAAAAGGGAGAGTGACATGAGCGTCGAGGAACCAGGAGAGCATTCACTATGAGCTTCTATAACTTTACCTATTTTGTTCTGTCTATATACAAAAAAAAAGAAAAAAAAAAGAAACGGTGAAACGGGTGACCCATTAAGATCTGTTAGCTTAACGGGTTAGGTTTGTATGATCCGTTAGCTTAACGGGTTAAGTTTGGATGACTCGTTAAATTAACGGGTCGAATTGAACCCAACCCGAACCTAATAAATCCGACCCGTTTACAGGCCTACTGTTGTAAAGTACCATGTTTGCATAATATTTAAGGGAAAAAAAAATCAATTTTCTTATTTAGCATAATCATAAGGAAGAGAAAATGTAGGAGAGGAAAAGGAGGAGAAAATTAGGGTTTATTTACTTATTTTTTAATTTTTAAATAGAATATGATATACTTACATGGTTGTGATGTTAGTATAAAAAAAACATTGAACTTGTGTTAAGCATAATTACTAAATTGTCCACATTTTTTTAATTTTTATTCAGTTCTGATGAGAGAATTAAAGTAGTAATTTACTGGAGTTTTGATTAACAAATAAAATTTTGTTAATATGCAATTTAGATAATTTTTTCATTTTGTCACGTGCAACTCATGTGGACTCTAAAGGCCCGATCCCACATAATTCCTACACAACATAGCCTACACCTCCGCGGCAGGATATACATCCGATTGGTCCGTATCTGATCAAGCCATTGATCGAAGCACAAACTATTGAGATTAGAGAGCGAGCGAGAGAGAATTCATTCGGACCCAACTCAACGACACGACTCGGCTCAATTACCTGGTCCGAAGTTATGGAACTCGCTCCACACAACCCGGGTTCTAATCCGCTCCGACCCGACGAACCAGAGCTCGAACTCTACTCAATCCCACGCCACTCTAGTAAGTTTCCGCATCCTCACCCCCTTTCTCTTTTTTTTCATCTTTTCAAAAACCCTAACATTATCCCCATTTCAAAACCCTAATTGCTCCTCCCCATGAAGCAATCATCCCAAATTGTCAACTGGGTCCGTTAATTTTTTATTGAATTGTTGGTTAAAGTGTGTGATTGAGAAAAAGGTATGAGCTTTTTGGTTTTGTTTGTTCTTAGGCTGGTTTCTGTGGGATGAGATTCATGAAACTGAGAGAATTGCGTTGAAAGAGTATTTTGATGGGAGCTCGATATCGAGAACGCCGAAAACGTACAAGGAATACAGGGATTTTATCATTAATAAGTACAGGGAAGATCCTTCTAGGAAGCTTACATTCACTGAGGTTAGAAAGTCGCTTGTGGGTGATGTTACTTTGCTTCATAAGGTGTTTAATTTCTTGGAGAAGTGGGGGTTGATTAATTTCGGTGCGAATTCAGGTGGTGGAGGGGGTTTTGTTGCTGGGGGTGATGAGAGGTGTAAGGTTAAGGTTGAGGATGGAGTTCCCAATGGGATCCGGGTGGCTGCAATGCCGAATTCCATTAAACCCATTTCGCAGGTTTCGGGTCAACCTAAAGTTGGGGAGGTTGGGGGTGGTGGAGGTGTGAGTAGAGTTGGGTTTCCTCCGTTGGCATCATACTCTAATATTTTTGGTGATTTGAAGAAGGAGGGGTTGGTTTGTGGAAACTGTGGTGGACATTGCGATTCTGGACACTACAAGTATAGCAAGGTATTTTTTGTTCAATTTATCTGTAATAAATTTTTCGCTAGCTTTTTGTTATGAAACTTGTAACTTCTGTATCTGTTTGAACTACTATATTGGCAGGGTGATTTTCTGATTTGCGTAAAGTGTTTTGAAAGTGGAAACTATGGGGAGAACAAATTAAGGGATGATTTCAAGTTCAACGAGGCAGTTGAAAATAGCAGGATTAATGGAGTTGAATGGACTGAATCAGAAACCCTATTACTTTTAGAATCTGTTTTCAAGTATGGGGATGATTGGGAGCTTGTTGCCCAAAATGTTCAGACCAAGACCAAATTTGATTGTATTGCTAAGCTCATTGATCTGCCTTTTGGGGAGCTTGTATTGGGTTCTGCTTACACAAAAGACAATTCTAATGGCTTTAGTGCTAATTTGGACTCTACAAAGCAAGTTCAGTTATCTTCAACAGGGTGTCAAGAGACTATCATAACCAAGGGTCAGTTGCATGAGCAGACAGATGATGGCAAGCAGAACGGAGACACTTTGAGTGAAGGTCCACCTTTGAAAAGACAGCGCATTGCTTCTCTTTCGGATGCTAGTACATCTCTGATTGAACAGGTACCTAACTTCCCAACCCTATAAAGTTTAGGCTAAATGGTTATGAGGGCACCAGTTAAGTTGCTAATGCTTCAACATATCTAGGCTGGAAACATACTTGTACATTCACACATGAATGAGGAAAGAAAAATGTGGAGATTGATTTCATTATTTTGCTTCCTTTACGTTTTTCATAACTATTTTTCATGCTATCATATTCTAACTATGGCCTTTTATTCTGTTACAAAATATTAATGTTGTTTCATCTTTAGGTAGCTGCCATATCAACCATGGTTGGTCCACAAATCACAGCTGCCGCAGCTGATGCGGCCGTTAATGTGATTTGTGAGGAAACCTCATGTTCAAGGGAGATATTTGATACTGATGACGATTCTCTTACTAATGGCGTGTGGTCTCCTGCTAAAAACTATGAGACAGAGAGGTTATTTATCCACTGGAATATGCTTTTCCAACTGATGCTTCAGATATAGATCTTTTTGTTGTTGTATTATGTTTGATATTAAAGTTCTGAAATGTCTTGTTTGTTATCAATTTCAGAGTCCAAGACGGGGATTTGGAAATGAAGGAAAAGCCAACCGGATCAGGTATTTGCAGTAAAGCCATTTACAAGACACGATTGTTACAGTTTACTACAATCAATTGGAATACATGATAATGGAGATGTTTGTATAACTAAAGTTAGTATTTGGTGATTGTTGTTTCACTCCTCTTTTTTGGTGGTTGGTTTCTATTACAGCTTTCTGTATTCACTTAGTTGCTTCATTATTTTGCTGGCTAATTAGTTATTGCATGATTTCAGTCCTAACCATCTCTATATGAATTTGCGTTTTTATATTTCTCAGAGAGTCAGGATGCACTCTTCAGAAAAGATGACATACCTCCAACTTTGCAAATTAAAGCTGCCATTGGAACAACTCTCGGAGCAGCTGCCGCTCACTCAAAATTATTGGCTGATCAGGAGGATAGACAGATTGAATATCTAATGGCAACCATAATTGGGACACAGGTATATAGTAGTTTTGTTTTCTTCTCCCTTCCTTTTTCATTCTTCCCAGTTGCTGCAATTCTTGCTGTGTATACACCTATCCCTTTTCCCTTTTTGTCACGAATGTTTACGTAGATGAAAAAGCTGCACTTCAAACTGGATTACGTCAAAGATCTGGAGCAAATCATGAAGAAGGAACACGCTCAAATTGAAGACGCAGAAGATTTTCTCGTACAAGAGCGGATTAATGTCTTGCAAAGAACATTCGACTCCAGTGTACCTAGATGGAGGGGTCATCCCGCTATGAAATCTTGAAACGCTTGTTGTATTGTTAATTGTAGAGTAGAGTAGATTAGAGCAGGATGTGTTTCCTTTGTATCTTTAGGCGATTTCTAATTCTTGCTGATGAGGTTAGGCTGGTTAGCAGATTAGGGTTGAGGAACAGAACAACTTTGTACAATTGGGATCTTATCGTTTCTTCACATGCTTATGTTCCAACGTTCCATGCAAATCCTGTATCTTGCTTCTTCTGTGGTGTTTCCAGAATGATTGTCGAGTCCGTTTATGCTTTCGGGTTAACGATAGTGCGAGCCGGTGGTTAAACAGTGACAAGTATCTTAAGCTAATTACATACTGTCATGCATTTTATCTTTTTCAAACTGCAGTGTATGGTTGGTTTGCGATACTGCCACCGTAATATTGCCCCGGGGATTCTAGATGTAGGGAAGTTATACCAGAAGGCACATTTAGTCTGGATTGGGCCTTTGATGGGCTGGGCCGGTGAGTTCGGCCCAATCGGTTTCTTTACCGCCCAACAAAACTGAAAAGTTCAAACTGACTTTCCCTGCAAAAGCAAACCGTCTTCTCTAAAACCCCACCAAAATCCCCAAATTATTTTGCCACCAAATGAGTACGCTCAGACGACGCCTCCGCCTCAGCTACTCTTCCGACGAAGAAGAACAACCGCCGCCGCCGCCATCACAACAACAGCAAAGTGAAGAACCTGGGCCACAATCGCATACTGTCACTCACCCGCCCGTTACCCTAGACACGCCATGCCCTTACCCCTCCGATCCACTCCCAGTCACCTCCTCCTCCTCCTCCGAAGAATTCATCGATGTCTCCGACAATCTGTCGTCGCCGTCACCTCCGCCGGCTCCGGTACTCGAACCCGATACTAGGCAATATTCTCCTCCGCTGGCTCCGGCACCTGAACCTGTTTCCCGGTCACATTCTCCTCCCATGGCTCAGGCACCGGAACCCCAAAATTGGCCACCTCCACAGAGATACGATGGCTGCCCAATAAGCGAACATCTCCAGAGGTTAGGGCTAAGGCTAAAGAGGGAGTGGCTCGATGCTTGCGTCCATGGACTCCGGCAATTCGTACCGGGATTTCAAAACTTCGATGTGGAGACGAAGGCGAAGCTCTGCTTCGAGCAGTTTCTGGTTTCGGATATGAATCGAACTGGCGGCGGCGTGCTTCCGGAAAATGTAGCTTCTCTTCATCTCGTTGATCTTCCTGGACCCTATGTTTTGCAGGTAAAGATTGAACCTTTTGCACAAATTAAACCAAACCATTCGAAATGAATTTGATTTGGTAATGCTTATGCATAAAGCTTGAAGCTTTTCGCAGGTTGATGAGATTGTTAACATCAGCAATCCTCTGAAGAATAGGTATCAGAAAACTGCTGTTGGGCTCAAGAGGTGCCTCAAATTGTCGTTGACAGACGGTGTTCAACGCGTCATTGCTATGGAATACAGGCCTATTCAGGCCCTAGAAGCTTTGGCTCCTGCTGGGTTGAAGGTTTGTTTTTCTCTGGCTATCTTATTGAATGGAAAATGATGGGTCGTTCAACCCTTTTCGTTGCACTATAAGGCTTATTTTGCTCTTCTGACTCAAACATAGATTATCCTCTTAAACTCTAGATTGCTATATGTAATGTGCATATACGCCACGGGCTTCTTATGCTGGTCCCTGAATGTATTGAAGTTCTAGGAGGATTAGTTGAGGAACTCGATGCTGCGCGTCAACGGCTTGTTGAAGAAGTAAATAAGCCCCCAAGAGGAAACAGGTAACTATAAAGTATCTAAGATATAGTAGTCAGTGCTGAAGATTTACAACTTACTGATTTTCATGTCGGACCATTAATTTTCGGACGTATAAGCTATAAATTTTACCATGACTAGATATGCCTTTGAATTTAACTTTGCCTTAGCTTATTATAGACGGAAATAAAAAGAAATAAAAAACACTGCTGCCTTTAAAAGCTCTAGCAACATATAAGTTTATAGTGGTATTGGATAAACAAGCTTGGTGGATGATATTGGATAACTGATAACAGACTGCATGGTTGGTGAACTGCAAGATGGATTTTTTTCTTAGGTGATGATTAACTTACATCAAAATAGTTTGATTGTCGAATTGGAATGCAAATATTTATTCTTCATGCAGTTTAAGGTTTTAAGCTAGGAAATATGCTGGTCAATCTTGGTTGTTATTTTTTCCAATTTTCTTCGGGTTCATAATTTCTTTTAGTAAGGGAATACTGGACTACAGGAGGTCATTACATTACCATTTATTACAGTTTACACACTTTATACAAGCTAACTAACTTGACTGATGAACTTGATAATATGTGTTATTGTTATGCAGGACCAGGAATGGAGTAGTTCCTCCTCTATCGACTAGGTTAGCTCTTGCTGCATGGCCTCCCAATACTGTTAATGCTGCTGGACACACCAATAATTCAACAATGGAAGCCCCGACCTCCGTTCAAGCACCCAACCAAGGTATATCAATGACTCCATTTGCGTGTGGTTGTGGGCTTTGTAGAGCATAAGCAACTCATGTCTAGTTTCTTTGAATTCCTTGTCTCGCTTTCTATGGCAGTTAGTTCCTGTCATTACTTGTGAAGTTGCTGACAAGTATAGCTTATGATATTATGTCTTTCCATTCTATTCTAAGTTTTGTTGCATCCTTTTTTTATATGTAGGTGCTACTTTCTCTGTATCTGCTAGAAATACCAGCTCTGTATCTTCTAGAAACACCATCTCTGTATCTGGTAGAACTACCAGCTCTGTATGTTCTAGAAATAGCAGCCCAGTGACTGCTGAAGAGTCTACTGTTCCTCTCAGTGGACAACATTCTGTTGTTAACCCATCATCTACTGGTGGCCGTGGTGTCGACGAGATGCCTATGGATACCACTCCCTATAGCAGAAGAAATGCTATTCCTAACCCATTATCGGATGATTTTGGTGTTGAGAATCTCCATTTAAATACAGTTCAGTCTAGTGTTCGTCATAGCAGGGAAAGTCGAGTACCTGAAAATGCCATTCCTAACCCATCCTTTGAGGATGCTGTTGAAGATATTGAAATGGATGCTGTTCATTTTGGGGGAGAAAATCATACCAGAGATTCAATTTTGAATGATGAGGATATCACTATGATTGATGAGAATGAAACTCATAGGGCTTGCGCATCCTCAGACGCTGTTTTGAATGATGAGGACACCGATGTTGTTAATGAATTCGACCGCCCAGAAATACTATCTGGAGACCGCGAACGTCCTTTCGATTACCTATCTAGTTTGTCAACCAAGTTGGTTACAATGAACATTCGTTCTATTCAGGGGAAGGTTAAGGTGAACACACTATTCTGTTATTTGTTTCCATCAGATGATAGATTTATAATAACCATATTACTGAAACGTGAACAAATTTTGCAGTGTGTTTTGACTGGTGTGAATAAGTTCCAATACACAGGTGACATGTACGAGCTTGGAGCGTATGTTGATGATGGGACTCTCATTTCTGAAATTCTCATTGATCACAATGTAAGTTTGAGCTGAGTTTTTTATCCATGATGAACATACTCATCGGAGTTTGATATGTTGACTAGCTGTATACTCCTTAGGTTGTACAGAATGCGATAGGTCATTCTCCTGCGGAAGCCAGAGCTGCTCTTTCTTCTCCAGACAATACAGAAGTTCGGAATATGAAGGCAAAAATGAGGCAGTTTCAAAAATTCTTAACGAATTTCGAGGTAATACCTAATCAATTTGTAGTTTTTACCGTTTAAAGGTCATTTTTACTATTGAATCCCTTCAGCATCATGGACCTCTATGTTTTCAGGGCATAATGCTTATAGAGATGAGATTGCATGATCTTCCAATTGCCATTGAGATGACGCAGGGTTGTGCTGAATCTGATGCGTGGTTGCTTTTGAGGAGACTAAAGGCCTCCTCTCCAGCTCGGACATCACAGCATGCCTCCGCTGCCGCTCCAACATCACGGCATGCTTCCCCTCCTGGTCGAGCGTCACAACATCTCTCCTCGCAGTCGTACCCCATTGAGATATCCCCCTAGTTCTGGATTTATTCTATTTCATGGTTTATGTGTGGCCTTGTTCTCAATGGGAATGCTACATCGTGGAAAAACTCCCTAGTTCGATGAAGCTCTTGCTTGCAAGAATTGCGGTTATGGCGTCCAGAGAAAGAAGTTGGGAGAAGGAATTGTTCGAAGGCGGATTCATGGTCTAAAAGATCTCCAAGTTGAAGAACACAAGCCTCGATGAACGATAGCGGAGTCAAATTATTACAGTTGAAGTTCCTCTTACTGAAATATGAGGGTGATCGAAAGAGATGAAACGGAGTTGCACGTTAGAACTAGCGGATGCTTCGGCGGCAGATTGTGAGAGAGTGAGTGAGTGAGTGAGTGAAGATTGCAAGTGATATTTGGGAAGGAAACTCGAATAGGATTTTAGCTAATCCTAACAGCTCACATGTGCTCCAAAAACTTGACTAAAATCAGACAATGTCATTTTTTCAAACATGCAATAGCGAGTGATTAGCGGATAATCGAATTCAAAACCTCGAGTGAAGGCAGAGTTTTCAAATTTATTTCCGTCTTCCTTAATAAATCAAAGAAAATAAGAGAGCATAAATAGAAAAAAGGTGTGCAAAAAGAGAAAATGAATATACGAGAAAACTAACTTTCCAAAATCTAATTTGGCTACTTCCATGCTATTCACATCTGTTTGCTTCACCGTATAAGCAATGTGTCTAAAGGAATTAACTTGGCTCCTCAATGAATGAGGCGTTCCTCCTCAAAATCTCATGTTATTGAGTTCACAAAACTTCGTGCTTATGATCGAAATTGTTTATATCATAAATTATTTTTCATGGAACTTCATGCTTGTGATAGAAATTCTTCGTATTATAATGAGAGTTTTGAAATGTCATATGAACTTATACACCCTTTTCAAGTCATATGAACTAAAATTTTAATCGATTTGTCATATCAACTTCTAAAATCACTAATTTGTCATCTTACCTTAACTCCGTTAATTTTTAATCCAAAATAAGTTACATGCTTCACATCACTTGTATTTAAGGTTATTTTGTACACTTCAACATAAAGAATATCTATCAACTTTAACCACAGATTTGGAGGATCCGCAATGAGTATACTTTGTAGTTATCATCACTTC